TTTATTTTGGATGTGATTAATCGTGATTAATCGTTGCCCAGCACTAATTCTATGACATAAAAACGTTTGTCTTTTAATCAATGTATTTTAGCTCTGAGATTTAAAAAATTTAAAGTTCACTAAATAAGTATTTATCAGAAATAAACATTTAAATTACAGTCTTTTTCTTCTGGAAAATGAATACCAATTAGTAATAGTAAGTAGAAAATCACAATTGTCAGAGTGTCTTCGGTTCCGTCATTTATCATTAATATAATTTCCTCTCTCAGACATTAAATTATTGTGAAGGAAATGGCTGGATTTTTGTATTTTAAAAATGTGTTCATTGCTTTCATCCATGTCAAAAGCTGTGAAGTGAGGTTCTGATATAAATTAAATTAAATATAAATTATAACATTAATATGTCCTATTGACATGATATGACGTAAAACTATTAGCTATTTTGAAAAAAAAAGCCCTGCCCCAACTTCCTGTTTCAGTAGGAAATGTGTCAACATATGACAACATTATGTTTATCAGAAAATTGGAAATTGGTGTTTATGGACTGCTGGAACTGCTCTTGTGCCATAATATGGAAATGCGGGGATTGCTGCACAAGTTGTATGTTACAGACAGGGTTTCTCTCTGATATTCTTGATTCTCCGCAATCCCACACTTTATCAAATGAGGCTGCAAATAAAGGAAGAGATTGTGGAACACCAACTAAGACGAATTAGACCAAGCTCCCTGATTTCTCACCAGAGATCACACTTATGAGCTTGTGTTGAACAGCTCATAGTCTTTGTGGTTTTGGTTTGGCAGCCAGTCATTTGGCATTTTTTAAGGGACTTTTTTTACAGTGTATTATATATATATAATATCGAAGTAAATCAAAATATATATTTTTAAATTGAAATGTATAAATGTAAATCACAATGTATATATATATATATATATATATATAATAGTTGTAAGCCTGAATATATTGTTGTCACCCTGAATATATCTATATATTGCAATTTATATTTATATATTCAGAATTATAATATTCACATTTTACATTTATATATTCAGACTTATAATTATATATTCAGATTTATTTCTACATATTCAGGATTTACATTTATATATTAAGATTTGTATCTTTATATTCTGATTTACATGTATATATTCAGATTTATAAAAATATATTCTGATTTACTTCCGTATATTTAAAATTTACATTTAAATATTAAGATTTTATTTATTAAGATTTCCTGTTTGGCACTTCATAAAAGCAAAAATGTATAGAAATATGAATGTACAAGTGAAATTTGAAAATGTATATAATGCAAATATATATTCTAATTAAGAATAAGAATGACATAAATCTGTCGCACAAAACAAATTCAGCATATCTCTTGACATGCCATTTAAAATACCAACTAAATATACATTTTTTAATATACACACATGCGCACACACACACACATTAGTACAAGTATATATATATATGTACAAAGTGAAATATGAAGATGTATTTAATGCAAATATATATTTGAAATAAGAATGAATGGCATAAATCTGTCATACAAAACATAAATTCAGCGTATCTCTTTCTATCTCTTGATGTGCCATTTGGAATATTGGTCAGGATGTCCAAAACCATGGTGTGTGTGTGTGTGTGTGTGTTTGTGTGTGTGTGTTATTATGGGGGGATGGTGCTGTTGAGATTTTGGGTTTATGAGTACTGGGGGAGGGGAACGCTCTGCATTTGTGTGCTGCATACTCTCAGTACAATAATGACTGAAATCTCAATGAATGTGTGAGGAGAAAGAGCAGATCACACCTGTCAAAGACTCTCTGTGTTTGTTTATAACCATGAGAACAGTGACTGTATGGATGGAAATTTGTGGAACAGCACATATGACACACAGCACACCAATGATGGTCTGGTTGTTCACTGGCAGACAGTGGAAAGACTTCTGGAAGGGGGATGGGGTGAAGGATTAGCCTCCTAAATCTATTAGAAATTCATTCATACTAAATTCAGAGGGGGTGCTCTCTCTTACATGGGTAGGTGAATTGACCCAGTTGTTCTGTATTCCTGTAAAAAGGTCACTTGACGTCACCCTCTCATGAAGCTACTGTACATCAGCTTGAGGGGAAATGGGACAGTTATTTGTTGTGGTTTCACAGGAATATCTTACCCATAAAACAAATCGTTCCGGTCCTGGATGCTGAATAGCCAATGCAGCGTTTCTGAGCTACTTTAGATAACATAGTAGGCTAATAACTGTGACGCAAAACACCTGTTAAGCTACCTTGCACTGCACAAATAGGCCTTACATTAGTTTACATTAGAGCCATGGCTGTGTTCCAATCACTTCACAGTGCCTTGCAAAGTAGACATCACAGGGTATTAAGCCATTAGTTGTAGACAGCATCTAGGCTTAGTCTCAAAGACACTAAAGATAAGTGTACAGTATATCTTCACAGAAAGTGAAAATGGTAAATATACCCATCAGTCATTGCACACCACCGCAATGCTACTTGAAGTGGCTAAAATAAACACAAAGGAACATTTTTCTTCATATTAAATTGATTAAGACATTAGATATTTTTGTGTGTGACTGTAAATTGCACTAGATGTGACAATTAGTCATATTAGAGAGAAACCCTGTCTGTAACATACAAACTTGTACTCTGTGTAGCTTTATGTGCGCAACGTCACTTTAAAGGGTCAGTAAAATGAATCCACATGAATTGAGTGGTAAAATCCAATCTTTGTGAAGGGACACGATTGCTTTATGTGATGAACAGATTTAATTTAGCCTTTTATTCACATATTATTCACATTGATTGCACAGCTCGATTCATATGGATTAGCTTTATGATATCGTTATTAACTTTTTGAAGCGTCCAAGACTTGGTGGAACAAGGCTTGAAATGGTGGAACAAAAATCTCTCAGATTTGAAAATGATCTTCATTTGTGTTTCAAAGATAAAGAAAAGTCAACCCCGGCTTATTGGGAAAAAAAACACGCCTCTACCTACATTTTTTTAAAACTCCAAAGATGCACCTATACGCACAATTCAGAGCAGTTTCCAGATTAAATAGAGGCAGCAAAACAACTTCAAAAACAACTTTCTAACTTTTCTAAAACAACTTTTTTTTTTTTTTAAATAAAAAACATTTAACATTTATAAACTAATTAGGGCTGTCAATCGATTAAAATTTAAAATCTAATTAATCACATCCTTTTTCTGTGATTAATCGCGATTAATCGCACACTTCATGAAATTAAGCATAGACCATTTATCTTGTTTCAAATGTTTATTTTGTCATCATTTGCTATATCCAGCAAAGTAAACCAAAAGATTGAAGGGTGATTCTCAAAAATCTATATTTTCTGCCAGCTTTTTTCAAGATAAATTTAGATATCTTTCCAAAAAAGGACACTTAGAAACTCCAAAAGGACACCAAAGAACCAAACGATATAAGGAGCCCGCATATAAGCACATATGAAAGAAAAAAAATCAGAATTTTATAGTATGTACCTTGATTGCAGTCTTCATCCATCAAAACTTTACTAGCGAGACTGGTTATCCAGTCGAGAAAATGTAGTTTGCGTCTCATCTGGCCATACAGCGATGGGATGTGTTGACAATCCGTTCAGTCTGTACTTCACACAGCGCGTGTGACGTGTGAGGGCTCGCGCTCTTCAGAGACAATCACAGAATATGACAGAGCTCCTGTTTTAAAGTGAAACACTGGAATGAATAATTCACTTAAAACGCGACGTGAGTCTCTGTTCTCTCTGCAATCTCTGATGTAATCAGCCTGGTTTCCTTTATATTAGCGCTGTTTTGGACGGATTGTTTGAATACATTCGCTTACTGGATCATTGGACTGAAAACTTTCCCGGAATTTAGCAGCTTAAAATGATCTAATCGCAAGCAGAGAAGCAAAATTGAGTTAAAGGGTTAGAATAGAAATTGTGCTATAGTAATTTGCGTTAATTGCGTTAAATTATTTTAACGCGTTATGGATTGTTAAATTAATCGCATGCGTTAACGATGACAGCCCTAAAACTAATACGTTTTGATGTTTGCATTACATAACCAGCTCCATATGTATGACTTTTCTGACAGTAAACTTGCTCGGTAGCACACCTGGTGCAGCATTGATAGCATTTAGGTACAAGTCCTGTGAAGCATGAATCACAAGTAAGCTTCAAAATTAAAGGTCAAACACTTGTAGAAATAAGCTAAAACGGCATGGGTGCAAGCGTCACATTTGATTTTGTTAACATAATCGGTTCGTTTTAGGGAAGTGTTTAGTGTAGGTGACATTTTCAGCACCACTCACCATACTTTTAATTTCCAAATTGCTGTGATACGTACAAGAACCAACATAACAAACCGCTGCCAGATTCACGTTCATCTGACTGCTTCAAATAAAACTGAACGTAAAATTTCACTTTGAAAGTCTGACATATGCAAAAGCAATGTAATATTAGCAGAAATGTTGTCAAACACACTTTTTCCCAATGAACATTTGTTGAAAAGTCTTATGGGTTTGGAATGACATGATGGTGATTAAATGGTGACAGAATTTTCATTTTTAGGTGAACTGTCCCTTTAAGACAAGTTAGTTCATCTTGATAACACCCCCTTGGCAGCTACTTCCTAGTCATGCTAGAACAGCTTCTTTCTACTTCAATAAGACAAGACTGAAACTGCATGCCAAAATTACATTTCCGCAACATATGTCAAATCAGCCGTAAATCTGACAGCAAACAAAAAGACCAAATGTCAGAAATGCATTTGGCCAAGTTGAGTTGCCATTTCTCTTATTCATTTTTCTGAAAGTACCTTGTCTGTATCTACTGTAAATTGTATCTGAAATCCATATCTGCATGTAAGTCTGTGTTTGTGTGCCTTTTATGGATAGTGATATGGATTCTATTAGGTTTGTGTTTGGGTGGTACTGTGGAAACTGACTTTTACTGCACTGTATGCAGGGCTGCTTGAGGAAGCAGGCGCGATGGCCAGTGCCTCAACAGACCTGGACAATGCTGAGGCCCAGAGACAGCTCAACAACAACAACAGGCCTGCAAGCACAGGATTCTGGGAAACAGAGACCACCAGTGCCAAACTATTTGAGTGCTCTCGCATCAAAGCACTAGCAGGTGAGTAGAGGATCTGCTAGATCTGTGGTTGTGTGTGTCTATAGTATATTTTGAGCATATATATACACTAACTTTAAGAAGTTTGGGGTCAAGTAGTTTTAGTTTTTTTTTCTTAAAGAAATTAATATTTTTATTCAGCAATGATGCACTAAATTGCTCAAAAATGACATTTATTTTACAAATGCTGTTCTTTCTATTAATCAAAAAATCCTGAAAGAATATATCTTGGTTTCCACAAAAATATGAATCAGCTAAAACTGCTTTCATCTTTGACAATAATAAGAAGGATAATGTGACACTGAAGACTGCAGCAATGATGCTGAAAATTCAGCGTTGCATCACAGGAATAAATTACATTTTAAAATATATTAAAATAGAAAACACTTATTTTAAATTGTAAAAAATATTTCTAAATATGACTGTTTTTACCGTATTTTTGATTAAATGAATGCATCCTTTGTGAGCATAAGAGACTTCTTTCAAAAATATTAGAAAACCAACCCCAAACTTGAACGGTAGTGTATATAATAAGAATACAATATTCTTCTACACCCATATTCTTGTTATGGATGAGAAATAATAAATGGCTAAAATAAAAATTCTGTAACACTTTGTCGAAAAGAAAACACTAAAATTAAAAACAATTGTTTAATGGATTTAGGCAAATCAACATTATAATGTACAGTATGCAAAATAAATATTAATTCTGAGATTTGCTAAAGATTACATTTAAGAGCATTATTAAGCTGGTGTTTTTTTAAGATTAACATGAATAATTAATAATTTAATAATTTATGCATTTAGCAGACGCTTAAAAGTGACTTACAGTGCATTCAGGCTATACATTTTTTACCAGTATGTGTGTTCCCTGGGAATCGAACCCACGACCTTTTGCGCTGCTAACGCAATGCTCTACCACTGAGCCACAGGTAAATAGAGAGTATATCGGACAACCGATATGGTACCGATATTGTGTATCCTTTATATAAATATATTACTGCTGTCAATCGTTTAAAAAAAATGTACGAATTAATCGCACATTTTTCTGAAATTGATCGCTATTAATCCCACCTTACATTAAAGTTTTTAAATATACTTTTATATTGCAATAATTTCACACTCAATCTTCAAATTAATGTACAAACAACATAAAGACAGTATATTTTTTTAATATTTGTTTAATGGCATCTTTTTTTATGACTGAAGACCAGTATCAATGATACCATTACTGATTTCTCTATAAAATTGCCCCCCCCAATATTTAACCATTGACTATAGCCATTCAACATTACAGTATAATTGAGAGCTATCAATTTTAACATTTATTAGACTTTTAAAAATAACTTCTAATTTAAGTGAACTTAAAGGAATCTTCACATAAACCCATTATAATAAATGTCATATTTACCTGTGTGCCCTTCAGCAGAAATATACAGAAATTGAAATTGAAGTTATCAAACACTAAATTCTATATTAAATATAGATGAATCCTTAAAGCTATAAAAGTTATTTTTTCCTCTTTTTTTCTTTGTCCTTTGATTAATAGACATCACAGCAGCTGGTTATTAGGTTGTTTTGGCTGCTATTTCTTTAAGAGCTGCCGCTGCTGAATGTGACGCGGATCTGACACGCATTATATTTTCTCTCAACTCTTTTTACCTTTTCTGACCCACTTCAGCTCTTAAAGTCTCTATTAATGAGCTGACGAGTTAAATCGGGTGTGTTAGATGAGTGAGACAGTGCTAGGCTGCTCCAGGACAGTTTTGAAAACCATTTCAGAGACATCTTCTTAAATGTGACTCATAAAATATATTATATGCATGCACAGTTTTAAGGCAGCTTTAATCGCCTTTTTGGTAACGTCATGACTTGACTGACCACGACATTGCATGCACGTAGTTTATTTCGCGCTTTGATATGAAAGGATACAGGCTACAGCATGCGCCGGTGCCTGAAACGTCTCCCGTTCTGCGACTGAATAAATGCACTTGTCAAGAGAAAACGTGACAGAAGCAGCAGTTGTGAGTGGGGTGGCCAACCCTAGCCCCGCCCCTGTGTTAATTGCATTAAACATTTTTAACGCGTTAAACTGAAAAAATGAATCGCCTGCGTTAACGCGCTAATTTTGACACCACTAAAATATATGCATTGTTGTTTGACTCTCTTTCTACCAGATGAGAGGGACGCAGTCCAGAAGAAAACCTTTACTAAGTGGGTAAACTCTCACTTGGCCCGTGTGTCCTGCCGTATCTCTGACCTGTATAATGACCTGAGAGACGGATACATGCTCATCAGACTGCTGGAGGTGCTGTCAGGAGAGCTGCTGGTGAGTTCTCCGTTTCCTCAGAAAACACCACCTGAACAACCTTTTTCCATCCAAAGGTTTTACATTTATGCATTTGCCAGATGCTTTTTTCCAAAGCAACTTATATTGCATTATGGAGTACAGTTTCGGTCTATGATTTTTGCCCTCCAAAGCTAAAACCAAAACTTTTTTTATTTATTTAGCTGTTTCGTTGAAATATTTTTGGTAGCCAGAATTACGGTGCATCACTAATTATTAGCGTTGTTTGCTAGTATCACGTGTACTTTTACTGTTCTATTTTGGTTGAGCCCAACTCGAATGATACTGGATTCAATGAGGAGAGGTTTGCTCTCCCTTTTCTATAGGAATTTACCTAATATTTTTGCCTGCTTGACCAGTAAACAACCATCCAGAAACCTAGCAACACACAGCAGCATCTTAAAAATACTCAACATTTTGTTGACACTTCATAAATTAAAAAAAAAAGTTTTTCTTTTAATATCTTGCACTAAGATTTGATAAGATTTGAAGTGTTATTTTAATATTATTTACTATTATTATTATTTTGAATTGGCTTTTAAATATTTTTATATAACAGATTTCATTTAGTTTTCATGGCAACATATCTTGATTTTGTTTAGGTTAAGTTTTTCATCAAATATTTATATTGTATTTTATTTCAGCTTTTATTCATTTAACTAAAATGTTTATTTGTAATAGTTTTAGTTTTAATTAGTGACAATATCCCTGATTCAGCTTCCATGCTCTGCTTTATTAATTGTCTTTCAAAGGTTGAATTCAGGAAGTTTCGAGCCCACATGTTTGTGACACATTCTTGTTTTAATATGTTTTTGTTTCAAGCCTCGGCCCACGAGAGGCAGGATGAGGATTCACTGTTTGGAGAATGTGGATAAGGCTCTTCAGTTCCTCAAAGAACAGAGGGTTCATCTAGAAAATGTTGGTTCTCATGATATAGTTGATGGGAACCACCGCCTCACTCTCGGCCTCATCTGGACCATCATCCTCCGCTTCCAGGTGAGAGTCGCTTGGATTTCTTCAGACTGCTTTGGGACTTTTTGAGGGCCTCATCTGACTTTAAGAGAGTGTACTGATCTCTGATCTCTATGCTATCATTGACTAGCAATGGATTTATGTGATCTGATGCGGTCTGATCTGTAAAGAGGTGGCCATGTTTGGACCCTGTGGGGGGTGTTTGATCCCTGTCTGCCCTTTATGGTCCCTGCTGAGTGTGTGATCACTGTCTGTGTGGTGCCTGTGTGTCTCTATGGCCGATTGTCAATACCTACATTACATTCTGTAGGTATGTATGCAGTACTGATAGGAGTGGAGTTAGCAGAATACAGCTGAGTCAAAGGCTCTGTCCTAAATGGCTCACAGTCACGTCATGTGTACTTACAATGGCCGCAGTATGCATATGACTGTAAAGTCCACAAGACCATAGGGTGACCGATTTCTCATTTTTAATTTCTGTAGGTTGCTCAAAAGCACCTGCTTCATTGGTGTGGTTCACTTTTATGGTGTTTTCTGCAGCCACTGTCCGTATGCTGTCATTGTGTGAAGAAGAACAGCTTGGGAAGTGTGCTAAAGCTCTCTTTTTGTGGTTTGAGATGGCATTTTGCTAATGAATTTAATAAACATAATTTTTGGTTGAACTATTCATTTACTCTGCCAAGTTTTCATCTGACTTCAACCAAGGACTACCCTGTGAAAAAGAGTGTCTTTGCTTGTATCGAATGTCTACTTCAAGTGTTAAAAATAAATGAAGAGTTCATTTGCAAAAACCGATAAACGCCACTTTAAAAAAAAAAAGAGCTGATAGCCGTGCATTATTCTCCACATATAGCGCGCTCTGAACCCTAAACACGTTTTGTCAAAAAAAGCTGGTTTTGTCCACTTTCAAGGCATCGCGAGTTCACGTTTTACTGCAGAAGCCGACAAGCGCCCTTGTTGTTTTTGAACAGAAGCCGATAAGTCCAGTTTAGCGAATCAGCGCGCTGTATTCAGGTCAGGTGACAAGGCTACTTTCACAAAAGACGTGCTAGCTGAGAGGAGTTTCGTCAAAGCTGACTTAAAGTGATGGAGGATGGATAATTTCGACGAACTTCACGAACCTGTGATATCTTCTTCAGGGCGAACAAGGAAAATAAAAGCTATTTTCTTCAGGGCGAAAAAGGAAAATAAAAGCTGAAACGTTTTCACGGAACCTTGCAAAAGCAGCGCGTTACAATGGTGAGGGAAAAGCTCCGTGTATTGCGTGTAATCACATCCATACAGTTTATGATCACAACAACAACAACGTTTGTCAGGCATCTACATTGTCATCTGAGGAGATTACAAAGATTAAACAAGTGTTTTCTTTTTTTTAACTCTAAAACATGAAATGTGGAGTTATCTGCTTTTGCCAAAAAAACTACTTTTGGAGTGATCTGCTTTTGCTATAAAACAAACTTTTAATATGTAAAAAAAAAACATACTTGAACTTTAATTTTGTAAATTACCTGTGTTTGTTTAAGTTATTATTACTTAATCAAAACAACCCAACTGCAGTTTGATTGATATTACTTGGAATGCGCAATAAAAAAAACTTGATTTCTGAAAAAAAAAAAAGTTTTTTTTTAAAAAGAGTTATCAATTTTTGCAAATGAACTATTCATATATTTTTAAAACTGTACTTGCAGATAATGTAATATTAATGAAATAAAAGGCCACTTAAGCGCACTTAAAGAGAGAATACTTTCATGACTATGATTCTTAACACACTTAAGTACACTTTTAAAAAGTGCACTTTTTTTAAAAGTACATTTGAAATCATTCTCTTTTAATAATCTTTTGTAATGCTTTAAAGAAGTACACTTATTTTGTTTTTTACTAACCTACTAAAGTACATATAAAGTACTTGATTATAATTGTAAGTGTAGTGTTATTTGAAATTACATTTGAATAATAATAATAATAATATAATACTGAATATATAATATAATAATAATAATCTAATATTAATATATTATTATTATTATTAATAATAATGCATTTTTATTTATATTGAACTTTTCTTAAACCCAAAGCTCTACTCAGCATAAAATCATAGCAATGAAAACAGTAAAGTAATAAGAAATAAAAAATAAATACACTCAATGACAAGACAGCATTAAAAGATGAGTCTCTTCTTAAAACAGTTATCAAATATATATTTTGTATGTACTATATTAATATATGTTCTAAATTAACAAATTATGTACTAAATCAATATATTTTAAATGAACTAAATTGCAACTTCATCATTACAAATATATTTAAATACACAACACACATTCAGTTAAAATGACAATAAAGCATATTTTAGTCGATCATAAATGCTTGTACACTTTAACCATATTTCAAGACAATAGAAGTAATTATGAAACTGCATATAAAGATGTTCAACTAATTGCATTTAATTTAATATAAATGTAAACTATAAAACATTTTCATTTCATTGTAAATAACATGCACTTAAATTTCCAAAACATTAAATTCAGTTCACACTTAAGTATATTCTTTACGAGCGTGCCGTAGAGATCACGGGGTGGGGCTCTCGTTCACGCTCACGCTCTCTCATTCATTCTCCTGCCTCCCTCCTCCATATTCCTCTTTATATCCTGTCTCCATATATGCCGGAATATCTCTCCGCTCCCCTATTTATCTCCTTTCTACCCTCCCCATCTCTGTTGGAGTTCACTCTGCCCAGTCAGCAGGTAAGGCCCAACACTGCAGCAGAGAGAGAGAGAGAGAGAGAGAGAGAGAGAGAGACAGAGACAAAGACAGAGACAGAGAGAGACAGAGAGCAGCAAGGCAAAACAAACATGCAAACTTCCGAATCTTGTGGACCAGAAACGTTACAGATCTATAGAACTATATATCACAACCTTTGTAGAACTCTTGTTTTAAGCATAACCTTTGTAAAATCTTTGCTTAAAGCAATAAAAGCAGTCTCACTCAACTGGATAAGAAAAATATTGCAAGATATATTCAAGATATATTCTATCTAACTTAATGTTACTTCTCAAGCAAATTTATCTTGTTTTAAGGATTTTTTTTACTGGAAAACAAGACTAAAATACAGATTTTTGCACTGCTGTTCCTTGAGGTTGTAGATATCGATCATGTATTGACTGCATGATGCGAGAAATTCAATATGACGAATGATCTTGGGACGCTGTAGCTTTGTAATGTGCTTACACAAATGTGTTGGAGATGTTTGTGTGTGTGTATGTGTTTGGTTCACATATGTGACCCTGGACCACAAAACCAGTCATAAGGGTCAATTTTTTGAAATTGAGATTTATACATCTTCTGAATAAAAAAAGCTGAATAAATAATCTTTCCATTGATGTATGGTTTGTTAGGATAGGACAATATTTGGCCGAGATACAACTATTTGAAAATCTGGAATCTGAGGGTGCAAAAAAATCAAAATATTGAGAAAATCACCTTTAAAGTTGTCCAAATGAAGTCCTTAGCAATGCATATTACTAATCAAAAATTAATTTTTAATATATTTACAGTAGGAAATTTACAAAATATCTTCATGGAACATGATCTTTACTTAATATCCTAATGATTTTTGGCATAAAAGAAAAATCAATAATTTTGACCCATACAATGTATTTTTGGCTATTGCTACAAATATACCCCAGCGACTTAAGACTGCTTTTGTGCTCCAGGGTCACATATGACACACTATAAGGAGGCATGAGGAGTGCGTCCTTGTGCCACTCATTATTATGTATCATGTCAAAATGATAATTCAAAATGAAATATTAGTGTATATATTGTCGAATGACAGAACAGGCCAGTTAGTAAACCACAAATAGGCTAATGCAATCACATTAAATACTTGAAATGATAATACAGTATTGCTATACATGCCATTACCCAGTGTTTTAAGCAAAACCGCTGGGATTTGGACAGACTACTAATTCCAAGAACTACAGCTGATTTTAGTAATTGTTCACAAGAAATACTCTTATATTAGAGTATAATATAATATAGTATAAGTGACTTACTGTCACTAATGATTATTGGTGAGTTTTTATTGCAAAGCAACAAAAATGTAAATATAAACCACCACAGTTTTTTAGAAAAGCCGAAGCAAATTTATCCCGTTTGGGCTGCAAAAATCTGGAAAAAAAACTAAATCACGATGGCACTGACAGGTGAAAAAAAAAAATTCCATAAATTTTCATTGAAAGAGAGACCTGAGTTTTCTTTAGAAAATATAAAAATCTAATTTAAAGGAATAATTCACCCAAAAATGAAAATTCTGTCACCATTTAATCACCAAACCTGTTCCAAACTTGTATGACTTTCTTTCTTCTGTTGAGCACAAAAGAAGAAGTACAGTATGTTGGTAACCAAACAGTTGACAGTAGCCATTGACATCCATAGTATGGCATAAAAAATATTATGGAAGTCATTGGCTACTGTCAGTTGTTTGGTTACCAATCTTCATTTTGGGGTGAACTAGGCCTTTAACCCTTATAACCGTTTCAGACATTTTTTATTTATATATATATATATATTTTTTATTTTTTTTGTCAAACTGAGTGGTTCAAAACTAGCACAGTCATATTTTTTTTTTCTAAGACAGAGCAATTTTTCTTTTTTAAATAGTGTTGAATAAAATCTATATATCAGCCACAATGTTGAATGAAGGCACACAATAATGAAGCAGTGAGACTATAAACATCCAGAGTGCAAACGGTTCATACTCATACACAGCACACATTCAGAGTGAGAGTGAAAGGAATTGCAAAATTAAATAAAAAAAAATGAAGTAAGACCTAAATGACCTAAAATAAAAATAAAAAAGTATATAATTTTGTGTAGTAAAAGTATAAGTATATAATTTTGTTGATACTGCTTCAGGGAATTGTTATATCATTTCATTAGAAAAAAAATTACACATTTACTGTTTTCCGTCCAAAAATAACAGCCAAGATGTAGCCCTTTTTTAAAGATTGGGATAGCCCATGGTTCTCCTGGTGTGCTTTCAGTTGTTTCATTGCAATAAGAATATGACATTTTTGGCTTCATGATCCCAGCAAGGAAAGCAAAGCCTGTGATGAATCCCTTAAAAAGCTCACAATCATTTAATGTCTGTGAATTTCAGATTGCACTAACTTTTTATTGTTGTTTCTCATTCCTAACAGATCCAGGTGATTAAGATTGAGACGGAGGACAACAGAGAGACACGCTCCGCTAAAGATGCCCTTCTTCTGTGGTGTCAGATGAAAACAGCAGGGTAACATCTACGTATATATCTATCCCACAACTACCCATAACCAACCCAAAGACAATCATATTATATATATATATATATATATATATACACACTACTGGTCAAAATAATAATTTGGAATAATTAAGGTATTCCAATGTTTTTAGAAGAAGTCTTATGCTCACCAATGGTGCATTTATTTGATCAAAATACAGAAAAACAGTAATATTGTAAAATAATATTATAATTTGAAATAACTGTTTCTGTTTGAGTATATTTTAAAATGTAATTTATTCCTGTGATGGTAAAGCTGAATTTTCAACAGCTATCAGTGTCACACGATCCTTCAGAAATCATTCTAATATGCCGATTTGCTGTTTAATTATCATTGTTGCTCATTTATCATTAATGGTTCTTATTATTATGAGTGTGGAAAAAAGTTTTTGCTGTGGAAATTGTGATACATATTTTTTCTGGATTCTTTGATGAATAGAAAGTTGAAAAGAACAGCAAACTTCTATTTGAAATATAAATATTCTGTAATATTATAAATGTCTTAACTGTCACTTTTGATCAATTTCATGCATGGTTGCATCTTTTTTTTTATCTTATTTTTCCCAGACTTTCGATTGGTAGTGTATCACAGTTTCCACAAAAATATGACAACTGTTTTCAACGTTCATGATAACAATGATAAATGTTTCTTGAGCAGCAAATCAGCATATTAGAATGGTTTCTGGAGGATCATGTGACACTGAAGACTTCAGTAAGGATGCTGAAAATCAGCTTTGTCATCATATGAATAAATGACATTTAAACAACTTTTTTTTTATTTTAATAATCAAATCAAATAAATCCAGCCATGTTGAGCATAAGAGACTTCTTTCAGAAACATAAAAAAAAAAAATTTGGTAGTGTAGTACAGTATGTTTTCTTTTAGGCCTTTATAGAAATACACATGATCTTCCTGTACATCTTTCATGATGTTTCATGTGCTTTGCCCCAGGTATCCTGAGGTCAACATTCACAACTTCACCACCTGCTGGAGGGACGGCCTGGCTTTCAACGCTCTTATTCACAGGCACAGGTCAGCGGTCAGACAGACACACATCATACTGACTAGGCTTCCTTCCATTCACATCATTGATAGAGGCTGTTATGTGAGCTGATTTCTGCTTGTGTGTTTCACAGGCCTGATTTAATTGAATTCCACAAGCTGACCAGATCCAATGCAACACACAACCTCCAACAAGCCTTTAACATCACTGAACAGAGTCTCGGACTCACCAAGCTACTAGACCCTGAGGGTAACGAACAGCATTTTACTCTCACTATATACAGTCAACACAATGTGAACCATTAAATGTACTAGTTGGGGCCCAGGTTTGATATTTTTTGTTATATTGATTCAGCTAAATAGCTGAATGATCACTCAAAACAATAACCATTTTCTCCCACCCAGATGTAAACACAGAAAATCCGGATGAGAAGTCCATCATCACTTATGTAGTTTCCTACTATCATTATTTCTCCAAAATGAAGGCACTTATTGTAGAAGGGAAGAGAATTGGAAAGGTAGGGGGTGTTTTTGCGCATGTTTGATAGAGCTAAACCTCATTTAAATGAACTCGAGTGTGTTACCAGATGCATATTTCCCCTCTCTTTTTTCTCTTTCTAGGTGCTGGACAATGCTATCGAAGCTGAGAAGATCATTCGCCGCTACGAGGCTTTAGCGTCCGACCTGTTAGAGTGGCTTGAGAGAACCATTAGCATCATTAGCAACCAGAAGTTTGCAAACTCGCTGTCGGGTGTGCAGCAACAGCTTCAAGCCTTTACCACCTACTGCACCATTGAGAAGCCTATCAAGTAAGAGAGAATAAATGAAACAGAGGTCTAAGTGTTGGCAGACGCTCCAAGACTGCCAGAAAAATACTCAAACTATGATTCTTTCAATGCTTTCTTACGCTACCATTTAAGGGTACTAGTCACTGTATTGTTGGTCAAAGGTGTTCCTACCCGTGTGAAAAAGAGGTGTGCTTAGTTATATTGAATGTGCACTTGTATCGTACTTCAAATCTTAAAAGTATATTTAAAATAAAATGTGCTTGCAGATAATATTAGTGAAATAAGGGGCCACTTAAGTGCACTTAATTAAAGAGAGAACACTTTCATGACATTTTCTTAGCACACTTAAAGGGATAGTTCACCCAAAAATTTAAATTCTGTCATTGTTCTAAATTGTTCTGTCATTGTTTGAGTTGAACACCAAAGACGATATTTTAAAGAATTTTGGTAACCAAACAGCTGCTGGTAGCCATTGACTTCCATATTTTTCCCCATATTATAGAAGTCAGTGGCTACCAGCAACTGTTAGCTTGACTGAAAACCTGGAAAAGTCAGATTTTCATGATATGTCACCTTTAAAGAAGTACACTTTATTTTTTGTCTTGACTAACATACTATAGCACATGTGAAGTACTGTATGTGATTATAATTAAACTGTGTGGTGTTCTTTGATATTAAAGTTAAAGTTAATATATTTCAAATGTTATTGGATTGTTTTTTAACAGATTCCAGGAGAAAGGGAACCTGGAGGTGCTGCTTTTCACCATCCAAAGTAAGCTCAGAGCTAACAATCAGAAGCCATATGTGCCTCATGACGGGAAACTTATCTCAGACATCAATAAGGTGTGTACTGTTTAGTTAATATGGTTCTTGACTGGTTACAGTGTCAAATTTTGTATTTTTGTATAACTAGAACAGGGCTAATTACCTTACAGAAAAAAAAAATTTTTTTTTTTTTTTTTTTGACAATATGTAAGAATAAATTTCATGTCATGTCATCTGATTAATATTTTTAATGTAATGTAAAAGCCTCAATTTGGATAAAAACAGTAATATTGTGAACAATGGCAAGTTATAATAACTGTTTTCGATTTGAATATGTTTTAAAATGTAATTTATTCCTGTGATCATTCTAATATGCAGATTTTCTGCTCAGTTATTATCAGTTATTTTGGTGCTCAATTATTACTAATTGTGCTTATTATTTTTAATGTGGAAAACAGTTTTGCTGCTTAATGTTTTTGTGGAAACCATGATAATTTTTTCAGAGCTCTGAACAGAAAGTTCAAAGAAATAGAAAACTTTTGCTTCATTATATTTGACTTTACTGTAATTTTATTTTTTGAATGCATCCTTGCTAAATAAAAGTATTAATTTCTTTTTCTTTTTCTTGTTTTTTTAATTGTACTTCCTCCAAACTTTTGAATAGTAGTGTGTCATGATTTCCACAATTTATGATGCAGCACAACTGTTTTCAAATAAGAAGAAATGTTTCTTGAGCAGCAAATCAGCATATTAGAATGATTTATGAAAGATCATGTGACTCTGAAGACTGGAGTAATGATGCTGAAAATTCAGCTTTGCATCACAGGAATAAATTACATTTTAAAATATATTCAAATACAAAACAGCTATTTTAAATTGTAATAATATTTCACAATTTTAGTGTTTTACTGTGTTTTTGGTTAAATAAATTCAGCCTTGGTGAAAAAAAAAAGACTTATTTCAAAAATATTAAAAAAAAAATCTAAATGTTGTCAAACTTTTCGTGTAAGTACCAATACCAATTGTGTCTAATTTTAATTGAATCAAATTTAATTTTAATATTATTATTGAAAGTAATATTTACCTACTATTTAACCTTTTCACATTTTATTTTATTTATATATATTATCGAATAAATGAATCTAAATTATTGTATGATCATTAAAATTGTCTCACAGAACAATCCTCATATTTTGTTTTTCTCATGAAAGGCGTGGGAGAGACTAGAGAAGGCGGAGCACGAGAGGGGCGTGGCTCTTAGAAAAGAGCTGATTCGTCAGGAAAAGCTAGAACTTCTAGCTCAACGATTCGATCATAAGACCACCATGAGGCAGGCTTGGCTGAATGAAAACCAGCGTCTCGTCTCACAGGTGAGCAGAACAGAAAAATAAAACTCTAAAAAATGAAATACAGAGTTCTGGCATGAAACTCTAGATGGCACAGTCCGATAGGTCTAACTCAATCTGACCTAATGACATCATTATCACATGGCACAGCTGATTGGTTCTCTCCTGTATCTGTAGCCAATGAGCTCGCTGCTCAACATTCAAATGTATGATTAGTGTTTGCAGTTGCAGCTTGCTTCAGAAACCCTCCACCTTCCCCAGCTCCACCTGTATAGATCTGCTACGAGGTGATTCATGTATGCTATATGGGGGTTATTTTATGTATGTTATATTTGCAGCAGCAATATTTCTTACATGCTCACAGCAGCATGTTGTGGATGTATTGGCAGTAGCAAGTCTCAGCAGCAGCATAGCAGATCTATTCCACCAAATACATTAACATTGTCACGTACATTACCATGCCAATCCCTCCGAGAGTTGTCATGACAGAACTGTATAAAATAAAACAGGTGACATTTTGCCTTAAACGAGTGCTGCATTTTCCTCAGGATAACTTCGGCTATGACCTGCCAGCGGTAGAAGCTGCCATGAAGAAACACGAGGCGATCGAAGCAGACATCCTGTCGTACGAGGAGCGAATCAGTGTCGTGGTGGAGCTGGCCAATGAGATGGAGTCAGAAGGATACTATGACATCCGACGTATCTTGGCACGCAAAGAAAACATCCTTGGCCAGTGGAGCCTTCTGAAGGAGCTGGTGGTGGGGCGTAAAGCCCGTCTGGAGAAGAACCTGGCCCTGCAGAAGACCTTCCAAGAGATGGTCTACATGATCGACTGGATGGAGGAGATGCAGGTGGGTTGACTGTACCAATTTGACTTGTGATTAAAATCCCCACAAAAACATACATTGTGTATTACCAATATTTTTATTCAGTAGTCAAGTTGACACAATCAAACACACTTTTCTTGACCAAAGTGCCATATTCTTGCCCCAGGTTAAGTTGCTTTCTAAGGACTACGGCAAACATCTTCTTGAAGTGGAGGACATGCTCCAGAAACAGAGTTTACAGGAGGCTGACATCTCTATACAGGCAGACAGAGTTCAAACCCTCAACACTGCAGCTCTCAAATTCACCACTATTGAAGGTGAGTGCACCTTAAAACAGTAACATAATGAATATTGATTCAGAGACACTGTCTGGGGTCAAGATGTGATGGCAGATTGTGATATAAAGGTTTACTGGATGCGTTTCTTTCACTGAGATGTCCAGAGACCTCTGCAGGGTAGAGTGTGTAAAATAATAATACATGAGGAACTTGCATAATGCACCACAAGAGGGCTGGAGTTGCTTTGCTCTCTATTCAGCACACACTACTACACCTTGTTGGTTCAGGGCCCGGCTCAATAATGAATATTTTCAGCTTTAAGCTAAATGTTAAGTTTCCTTAACAAAAGATTTTCTTTCTTTTGATCAAAAATACAGAAATGGTATTACAATTTAAAATCACCGTTTTCTATCTTCATGTATTTTAAAATGTAATTTATTCCTGTGATGCAAGAAGCTGAATTTTCAGCATCATTACTCCAGTCTTCAGTGTCACATGATCCTTCAGAAATCATTCTAATATGTTAATGTTGTGCTCAGTAAACATTAATTTTTATTACCAATGTTGAAAAGAGTTGTGCTGCTTCATATTCTTGTGGAAATGGTGATATAATTTTTCAGGATTTTTTTGATGAATAGAAAGTTATATATATATATATTATTGCAGCAAGCTGGAAATTATACAGCTATAGTGTATCTCAATGAAAGATGTAGAACATACTGTTTAATTTGCAGTTTTAAGACTTTCTTAGTGCTTACAAGACTTTAACAAGTCATTTTTGCTAATCTGACAAAACCTCATCTTTGTTAGCCAGCTAAATAACATTACTTTGGTGACAAATCAGTGAAATCAGTGAAGCTTTTCTTCTTGTCTCTGTTTCTCACTCAGGTTACCAGCCGTGTGACCCTCAGGTAATTTGTAACCGGGTCAACCACGTCAACACCTGCCTGGAAGAATTAAAGCAGCTGGCTGCAAAACGGCGCTTGGAGCTGGAGGATTCGCGTGAGCTGTGGGCCTTCTTTCAGGAGGTAGAGGAATCAGAGAATTGGATCCGAGAGAAGATGTCCATCTTGGCCACGCAGAGCTGCGGGAAAGACCTGAGCAGCATCCTGCGACTGCTGCAGAAGCACAAAACCGTGGCTGGAGAGCTGTTGACGCGACGTGCGTTAATTCAGCAGACCATGATGAAAGGCAAGCAGATCCTCACCCAGAAGAGCTTTGGTACGACTGGAATACAAGAGCGACTGATGGAGGTCAAGGCCGAGTGGAAGAGACTGGAGGACCAGGCCGCACAGAGGCTGTGTAACCTACAGGAGGCGTTGGACTTTTTTCAGTTCAGCACCGAGACGGACGATCTTCTAGCTTGGCTACAGGACGCTTACAGGCTCGTTTCTAGCGAGGACTTCGGACATGATGAGTATTCAACGCAGTCTCTTCTTAAAAAGCACAGAGGTGTCCGAGAGAGTATCGATAAACACCGTGTACTAGTGGTGGGCCTTCGGAAACACATGGTTGCGTTGCCAATGCATTATCGGGAGCTGGATGAGGTGCGAGCTCGCATGGCTGAGACGGAGCAGCTCTACGCAGAGGTGGCGGAAGTTGCCGTGTTGCGGCAGCAGTGGCTTCATGACGCGCTGGCTGTGTATCGCATGTTTAGTGAGGTGAACGCCTGTGAGGTGTGGATTGATGAGAAGGAGCAGTGGCTGAACAGGATGGAGGTTCCCGAAAGACTAGAGGACGTGGAGATGATCGCACACAGGTAGGAGCATTCACCAGGTGTTGCTTGTCTACTGTGACCCCAGAAAATATTTAGAAATGTCATTGCATTGGAAATCAAATTTTTGACATTTTTTTTGAGACATTTTTGCAACCGAGGCTCATTAGAAAAATGCACCCTTGATGTCATTTCTGTAAGTGCTTTGTATTTTTAAATTTCTGATAAGAACCAGAAAATCTGAGCATATCACGCCTGTCCTCAGGTCCTTAAACTGGCTTCCAGTTACATTTAGGATTGATTTTAAAGTACTTTTACTTGTTTATAAATCACTCAATGGCCTAGGACCTAAATACATTGCAGATATGCTCACTGAATATAAACCTAACAGACCACGATCGAGTCAGTTAGAAATACCAAGGGTTCACACAAAACAAGGGGAGTCCGCTTTTATTTATTATGCCACCCGCAGTTGGAATCAGCTTCCAGAAGAGATCAGATGCCACATTTAAATCTAGACTCAAAACTTATCTGTTTAGCTGTGCATTTACTGAATGAGCACTGTGCTACGTCCGAACTGATTGCACTGATTGTTTTTAAATTCCTTATTTTTTATTGTTGTGATTTATATTTTTTTATGATTATTTTACTTCCTTTTATGTAAAGCACTTTGAATTACCATTGTGTATGAAATGTGCTATATAAATAAACTTGCCTTGCCTTTGTATCGCAAGTGCAGTGCTGTATCAGGTGTGCTATCGAGCAAGTTTACTATGTCAGAAAAGCCATGCATATGGAGCTGGTAATGTGATGCAAACCTCAAAATGTATTAGTTTACAAATCATGCACTATGGTAAAAGTGTTCTGAGATCATTACATAGTATTGGTCTAGGAGCCGTGTGAAAATAAGTCTTTATTAAAGGATAATCTGCTGCTGTAATCATAATTTGTATGAAAAGGAATAAAAGTTGTTGATGTTTTACTGCCACTAGTGTTTATTCAATCTGGAATTCAGTGAATTGTACTGTATGTATAGGTACATTTTTGGAGTTTTACAAAAATGTAGGTAAAAGCATGTTTTTCCAGTGAGCCTACATTGCATTTTTGCAATTACCCACAGATAAAGTTGTTTTTATGGACACAAAAGCCTAACTATGATTTACCATTGAATATCTTCTTATCTGAGAAGTACGTTTTCTGCATTTTAGGTTTGAAAGTTTGGACCAGGAGATGAACAGCCTGATGGGAAGGATACTAGATGTTAATCAGATCGTCCAGCAGCTCTTAGACAGCGGTCACCCCAGTTCCACTGAAGTCAGGGGCTGTCAAGATCACTTGAACAGCAGGTAACTCCAGATCATATGTACAGTTTGTGTGACGTATAACATTATCCTGCATATTTAATGGAAAATACCATAGAGGGCAACAGGAAGTAAAAATTATTTTCATTTTCTCCATTGAGATTTTTAATGATTGCACAAAAACTTTTCAAGATAGACCCTACCATGAGCTCTTGGTTGTTAACTGACGATATGCTTCTGTTGAAACCATTGGTTAGCGCAATTTCAACTTAATCAACAAAACAGTCTTATTGTGTTAAATGAGAAGAGTATCAAATAGAAAAAAAGTAGCTTTAGAAATAAATATTTTATTTGATTATTATGCGTAAACCTTTAGGCTACAGCGGCCATTTGTTTTTTCAGAAGCTGCATCTGAATTGGTATTAAGAGTCTGTTTGTTGCAGCTCAGAGGTGGCATGAATGTATTTACCCTGCAATTACTATTGCATCATGTTCATCACCAATCAACTACAGGTGAAATTTGAATATCATGAAAAAGTTCTTCTTTTTTTTTACTTATTTCAAAAAGTGAAACTTTCATATATTCTAGATTCATTACATGTAAAGTAAAACATTCCAAAGGTTTTTTGGTTTTAATTTTGATGATTAGAGCTTACAGCTCATGAAAGTCAAAAAAACAGTATCTTAAAATATTAGAATATTTAAATTTGAGTTTCATTAAATGAACATCCCTACAGTATAAATTCCCGGTTTCTCTTGTTCTTTGAAACCTCAATAATGGGGAAGACTGCTGACTTGGCAATGGTCTAGAATTCAATCATTGACACCCTCCACAATGAAGGGTAAGTCACAGAAGGTCATTACTGAAAGGGGCGGCTGTTCACAGAGTGCTGTATCAAAGCATTTTAAATGCAAAGTTGACTGGAAGGAAGAAAATGGGTAGGAAAAGGTGCACAAGCAACAGGGATGACTGATGACTGACATGACTGATGACTGAATGCCATGCTAGTCTTTCATTACCCTGATATGTAATTGTTTTCAGTTGATCTAATTTGTTTTCATTTTTAAAAATGGTTTCATTCAGAAAACCCTGCACATTCCTGATGCTGCTGTTGTTTGTCACTTTTAACACACGACTCTACATGTGTGTCTTTAGAAAATGGGCTGCTGCTTTCACAAGCTTTCACTGAAACTGGCAAGCTGTGACGTATGTGTGAAAAACTCCAGTGATCCGTTTTAGACCGACCTTGGCATAAATAGCCTCTCTCAGCGTGCTGCCATCTGCTGTGGCTGCCACATACGCACTGTACACGCCTGACCCGGCTCACTACGGGCCGAACCCAAACACATTCACAGCTATTGTGCTCTTCAATATTTAATGTCACAGTGTATTTAAAAGAATGTTTAATTCAAGTGTGCCCTGTAGTAACTCTGTGTTTGATTTGTGATATTGTGTCTCAGGCCTTGAGCTGTGGCCCACCGGTGCGTCCTCGGACTGTTTTTTGTGTGGGTGGGTCCTTGATATGTGTGTGTGTGTGTCCATGAATTGAGAATGATTCAGACTGAGTCATGTTTTCTGGAACAGAGTCATTTTTATTATGCATCATCCAAGCCTTACTCTAGATCATAACAGAATTATGTACAATGGGATGTAGTACAAATTTTCCAGTCAAAGTTATTTTGAATTAACATTTTTTAACATTTAATTTATTAAAACATTTATTAATTAACATTTTCTGTTGAAATAGGAATTTGTTAGTTTATGCAATTTATATATTTATATTAATTATCCTCCAATACAATTTTTTTTCTGCTAATTTCTTATTAGCAGGTATTGGATTTTTTTAAAGAATTTTTTAAAGGTTTAGATCATCATCTTAACACCCTGTCTGCTCCAGACACATTTGTAAACCTTAGGAACATTATAAGAGTTGTTGTGCATACGTAATGATAGCAGAGCTGCATGCTTTCAAGCATGGAAAATTCTGCTAAATACATAAATGTGAATTAGTTATGCTGATAAAACTTAACTTAACTTTCTAGAACCAGCAAGAATGTTGCTCAAGAAACAAGTGCTGCTTGGTGAAATAAGCTTATTAGTGAGAAGGACATTCTCATTCTAGATCAGTGGCTCTTAAAGCTTATGGAAATTTGAAAGTAATTATTTTAATTTTGACTATAATCATTTTAGTTTTTTTTTTTTTTTAATTTACAGAAAGTATGAGTGCCTATCGATTAAAAGAAGTTGCAAAACTAGTACTAGTGGACCTTCAAATATTGTTGAGGACAATGAATAGCCTTGAAGTCAATAAGGTTGAAAACCACTGTTCTAGAGAGTATTTAATAGGATAAAATTGCATATACATCCCTGCAAACCAGTGTTATTTTATTAGCATTGAGATATTATTATAGCTGTACATTTAAAATTATTTTTTATTTTTGTATCTTCCACTTTCATTAATTCTAGTTAACATTTCATAATTCCTTTGTGTTTGTGATTTTTATTAGTTTTTTTTAATGTCTATAATGTTTTCCATTTTTTTTTGTTATTTTAGTACATCAAGAATAAGTACATGAAAATGAGAAATGTTCATTATTTTCTGAAATATATATACAGTATTTTTTATTTTAGATAATGTTTATTTTATTTCAAGTATTTATTGATTGATTGATTGATTGATTGATTGATTGATTGATTGATTGATTTGATTGAATGATTGTAGTTTTAGCTTTAGAGGAGTATAATGACCCTGCTGTGAACAAAGATGAGTCATCAATATTTTGGACCATTTAAGAAAAGCTGTAAATCGTACATGCACTTATGTATAATAAAAGCTAATGTTGTTCACTTTTAGCACTAGCATATTGATGACCTCCAAGCTAACAGACATCAGTGTTTAATAGGGCTGTGTATCGGCAAGAATCTGGCGATATGATGCGTATCACGATACAGGGGTTGCGATACGATATGTTGCGATATATTGCGATACTGTAAGCAAGACGGTATATTGGGATATTTCTTATTTTAGGAATAGGAGAATATGATATAATTTTAGGAAAACTGTCATTTAGAACACACCACCATATGCAAACCTTAGCAAAAAAAAAATCCATTTACATACATGCATACATATATACAGTATATACAGTATATTAACCAGAACACAGTGGGATCTGCATTTGCATTAATCTGTCCCTGTAACATTCAACGCTATTGAACCACTTTTTGTGCAGTACGAGTAAAGGGGTAACAAATAAGTGCTTGCATGAGTCAGATTTAACTGATCATGGGTCAAGAGGAGGGATGACCTACAAGACCATGGTGGATGATTTGCTACTCAACAGATCCGGAGCACATTGACAAATATCTTATATCGTAAGATGCGCTCCCTTTACTCAGAGTGCGCATGATCGCGAAATCGAAAGTGAACAGCACGAGCACTCATTCAAAAGAGATTTAAATACTCCCCATTGATAGTGGCTCCCTGATACGCGAAAATTATGTAGCATTGCGTTAGCAGCGCAAAAGGTCGTGGGTTCGATTCCCGGGGAACACACATACTGGTAAAAAATGTGTAACCTGAATGCACTGTAAGTCGCTTTGGATAAAAGTGTCTGCTAAATGCATAAATTATAAATTAATTATAATTATAATATTAGAATGTTTGCGGGAGCGGGCAGGACTAGACAAACCTTGCAGGAGCGGAACACACACGTTTGTCACTGTTTAAGTTCAGAGGTAAGAAGAGTGCTTTCTAGCGGTCGGGATATAAACTCAAAACGAAACAATGGCCATGAATTTTGTATAATTTTTTTTTTTAAATATCGGTATTGCGTTTTTGAGAATCGATACAGTATCGCCAAACAAAATATCGCGATACTCACGTGTATCGATATTTTCTTACACCCCTAGTGTTTAAAGAGTCATTTTTATTACACATCTGCAATGCAAGACAGGGAACATACCGACTTTGCAAGTCACACTTAGTAACATACACAAAAAAAGAGCAAGATTTGAAACAGAATGAACTCACTTTAACAGAGATACAAGTGTTTAAAGAGTCTTCAAATCCAAAAATGTCTGAAATCTAGAAAATCAACTAAATTGCTTTCTTTTTGTGTATCACAGGTGGAACCGCATCGTGGAGCTGGTCGAGCAGAAGAAAGATCACCTGGACTCGATCCTGCGCATCCAGAACTACTTACTGGAATGCACTGAGATCAAGTCCCAGATTCAGGACAAGCGGAAAGCCATAGATGCCACGCAGTATGTGGGCAGTGACCTGGGCAGCGTGCTGGCTCTGCAGCGCCGTCTCTCCACCATGGAGGGAGCTCTGACGGTTCTCGAGCCCAAGCTCCTTCACCTGCAGGAGGAAGCGGAGGAGCTCGCCACATCCCATCCGGACAAGACCGTAGACATCCTGGTTCCCTTTGAGGGCATCAGCGTGGAGTGGGAAGAGCTAAAGTGTACATTGCAAGGCTGTGAAGACTCTTTAACCGTCGCTGGCCGCTTACAACAGTTCATCCAAGACTTGGATTCCTTCCTCACTTGGTTGGTGCAAACCCAGACTGCTGCTGCTTCGGATGAGCTTCCCAATGCTTTAGAGGATGCAGAACGGCTAATAAACCAACACGCCGCGCTCAAGGAGGAGATCGGAAGGTACGAAGAGGACTACGAGCGTCTCCAGGCTGTGAATGAGCTCGTGGAGACGGAGGAAGCGCCGTTGCCTCATGGAGCTCTGCAGCAGTGGCTGCACAAGCTGGACGTGGGCTGGAACAAACTGCTGGAGATGTGGGAGAGCAGGAGGGAGGTGCTGGTGCAAGCTCACATCTTCCATCTCTTCCTGAGGGACGTCAAGCAGGCCGAGGCTTTCCTCAATAACCAGGTGAAGCCCCTGATACCTCTTTATGGTAGTTACACAGTTTAAATTTGAAAGATATTTCTGAAGGCTTTTTTTTCTTAAATGTTATTCCTCAGAAGTTACTCTGTCATAGATGAGGAATCTTAAAGGGTTAGTTCACCCAAAAATGAAAATTAGCCCATAAACGACCCTCAAGTCATCCTAGGTGTATATGACTTTCTTCTTTCAGATGAATCCAGTCGGAGTTATATAAAAAATTGTCTTTGATCTTTCAAGCTGTTTAATGCCACTCAGCGGGTTTTGCATGTATCAGTCCAAAAGAAGTTAAATAAAAAGCGCCCATCCATAAAAAGAAAGTGTCTCACACGACTCCGGGGGGTGAACAAAGGCCTCCTGTAGCGAATCGATGCACTTTTGTAAGAAAAATATCCATATTCAAAATGTAATAATCACTTTAATGTAGCTTGAGCCAACAGTTGTACACTGGAAGCAGTTCCGGGCTGATGACGTAAGATGTCGGCGTTGCGCATGCGCTGGTGAGTCTCGTGAAAACCAACGTTTGTTTACAGGATCAAAGGAAGCAAAGTTTCCTTACTTTAGCAAAGGAAAACCGGTCTCCTCTTGGCTTATATCGAAATCCTCCAACATTCTTCTTTACAAATCCTCGTCTTGTACTTCTAATAAGTGACCGTTGTTTTGTTTTGATCTCTCCGCTGCGTTTCCGCGTGCGTTACTTCTGAGCGGCACATGCGCAACGCCGACCTCGTAATTTATGGGCTAATTTTCATTTTTGGGTGAACTAACCCTTTAAAGGAGATCTCATTTATGATTCATACACTACTTAAATTAGTTTCACTACCAGTCAAAAGTTTAAAAATAATTCAGATTAAATTTTTTTTATTGATTTTTTTTTTAAAGTATCTTTTTTGCTCATCAAGGCTGCATTTATTTGACAAAACAAAAAAACATTAAAAGCAGTTATATTCAGTTACATTGTGAAATATTATCACAATTTAAAATAATTGTTTTCTATTTGAAAATATTTTAAAGAGTAATTTGTGTCACATGATCCTTCAGAAATCATACTAATATGCTGATTTGCTGCTCAAGAAACATTTCTTATTATTGTTCTAAATGTTAAAAAAAAAAATGTGGAAAAAAATAAATAAATAGAAAACCATTCTTTTAAATTGTAGTAACATTTCATAATATGGCTGTATTTTTGATCAAATGAATGCCACACTGGTGATCATAAGATACTTTAAAAAACATTTAAACCTATTTTTTTTGACAAATTGTTTGTATAAAAAATTTGCTAGAAAAGTGAACAGGGCAGAGGAGAGGTTAAATATAGACAAATACAGCTATGTTTATATAAATTTACTTATATTTAATTACCGGTTTTGTTTCTCATAAAATTACAATTTTTCATTTTAATAGAATTAATAGGGGTAATTGTTGAGATCTCTTCTGAAGCTAGGGTTTAGACATGGCAGGTTTGAATACTGCCGCGTGTTTAGCCCAAACCAATTCACCCTCAGAAATGAGGCAAACCTGAGTAAAAAGGTAAATGCAATTGAGAAAAGTCTCCATTTGCTCTTCTTTATATCTCATCGCCGTCTAGGAAAAACAATTGAGATATTTAAGACACTTTATGACTGTCCTATTCTACGGGTTAGAGTTAGCAGACAATTAGGACACAAGAACAGATCTGGCTGATCTTTTTCAGGTCACGTCTGTAAATGTCAAGAGCATCAGGGCAGTTTAAAGTCACTGCTCAGTTCATATTCAGAGACATTTGCTGCTTTTATGTTGGGTCATCACTTCATAAGAATATCATAAATGCGGTTTAAATGCCAGAGGACATTCATTTCCTCAACCCCGCGTCTTTTGTGGCTTGCTAAAAGCCCAGAGTCGTTTTCTGTTGCCTGCGGGTACAGAGTAAGAATCCGCACTGTCATCGAGCGTGAACTGGTTTGCAGTAACACACATGGCAGTGGCATTCATTAGCCACTTTTCCTTAAGATTGTTTGAGTTTCACCTTTCTAAATGGGAACATTGTAAGGACAACTAAACATATTTAACAATTATGGTTTAACCATATTTATCAATATTGTATTTTTGTTTCCATCATTTAATATCTGTTTGCAAGAAAAATGAATTTAAGTAGACCATTTGTATTTGTGCCTTCAATCTGTAGAACTGACCGAGTTAGAAAACATTTGTGGAATCGTCACAGAAGAATATGTGAGCATTGATATTGTTTCAAAGTGTTTATTATTGCAGTACCACCAACAGCTTGCCATTTGCCCTGATTATGGATTTGCTTTTAGTATAATTGATCTGGACTCATTTTAGATGCTTTCTGTATGCAGTATTTCACCCTGTCTTTCTCTCCTCTCCTCAGGAGTCAGCGCTGGCCCATGTGGAGCTCCCCACCACAGTGGAGACAGTGGAGGCAGCCATCAAAAAGCACAAGGACTTTACCACCACCATGGAGCTCAACCTGCACCGCATTAAAGCTGTCATAGAGGCAGGAGAGAGCCTCATCAGTCAGAACAACATCTATTCTGAGCGCATCAGAGAGAGAGTGGATCTGCTCGCTAACAGGTCAAAACCACAACACTTATGATAACATTTATGCCGCATAGAGCTAGTTGGTGTGGAAGCCCGCTTCTGCCACTGAATAAAAAATAAAAAAGGCAATTGCGACTTTTTATCTCACAATTCTAAAACTTTTATATTAAACAAATTGCTTGAAAAGTGATAGGTCAGAAGAGAAGTTAAAGTTAAATACAGTTCTGTCATGACAACTCTCGGAGGGATTGGCATGGTAACCAATCAGCTGCCATGTGACAGTGTTGTCACCAGGTCAGATTGAGCTAGACCTATCGGACTGCGCCATCTAGAGTTTCATGACAGAACTCTGTATTTATGTTTAAAATATATTTCTGTCTTAAATATTTTTCACAAAATTAAAAATTACATTTCAATTTTAATCAAATTAATTGGGTAATGATGAAAGTTTAAGTTTTGAATGTAAGCACATTGAAATGGTGCTAAATAGCACTAAAAGTGGTTCTTTGGCTCGTAATCATAGGGGAACCACTTTAAGTGCTACATAGCACCTATATCTTTAAAGATGGTGCTATATAGCACCATCTTTAAAGATATAGGTGCTATGTAGCACTTAAAGTGGTTCCCCTATGATTACGAGCCAAAGAGTCACTTAGCGGTGCTATATAGCACCTCAAATACCTATACAAATACAAATAATACATTTTTTTGTGTGTACTTTTAACTGCAGACGTGGATATCTTAGCCAATCAGAGCACAGTTTGAGAAACGGCATTGCTTCTCTCATGCCACATGACCGATCATGACATAAAAATGTAATTTCGACTTTTTATCTCAAAATTTTAAAACTTGGAATTGTGAGAAAATCACAATTTTGTGAGATATCAGCTCGCAATTCTGAGATATAAACTAGCAATTCTACATTTTTTCTTGCAGTTCTGACTTCTTAGTTTTCTCAGAATTGTGAAATATAAACTTGCAATTGGACTATAATTCGCATCTCACAATTCTGAGAGAATGAATCAATTGCAAGATATAAATTTGCAATTCTAAGAAAGAAAGTCGCAAGTCTGAGAAAAAAATTCACAATTGTGAGATATAAACAATTGCCAGAATTGCGAGTTTATATCATGCAATTCTGACTTTTTTTCTCAGACTTGCAACTTTATTTCTCATAATTGCGAGAAAATAGTCAATTGTGAGATAAAAAGTCGCAATTACCTTTTTTAAATTTTTAATTCAGTGGCGGAAACAGGCTTCCATAGGTTGCTTCTTAGGAAATAGAGTAATTAGTGCCAAAAACTTCCAGAATTGTTATGAATTCATTTTAAAATAGTATGGCTTTACATAAGAAATCTTAGTTTTTCATGTCTAATCAAGTCCAGGAATATCTAATATTCAGATTAGTGGTCAACAAAATATGCATATGTAATATTTTTCAAACGCAGATTCTTAAACTATTAACCTTGATCCCTAAATTATGTTTGCAGCCTTGCAAAGTAACAATACTTGTTAAAAGCGCTACATTAACCATTTCACAGCAAGTTCAAAGTCCTATAAGCTACTTATAATTCTAAACGATGACTGAGGAAATTTAGGTTCATTTTTGTGTGCCCTGTTATAAATCATACATTTTAATTAAAACAAAAATGTTAATATTTCTATGATACTTCTATTGTCAACCTGGTTGAATTTAAGAGTTTTGGGGTTAAACAGCCCTTGTAATTATATTAAAAGTGCACTTGTAGTGTACTTAAAAACTATCAAGTATGTTTTTAATAAACTGTACTTGCTTGCAGGTAAAATAATATTAATGAAATAAAAGGCGACCTAAGTGTACTTAAAAAATACTATAAGAGAAAATGACTGTAAAGAGTAATTTACAATAAATGCTTGTCAGTACGTTCGGGAGTACACTTTAACCATATTTCAAAGACCATAGAAGTAATTATGAAATTAAATATAAAGATGTCCCACTTAAGTGGGTCAAAAAACCACTCAAAAGTTCAACTAATTGCATTTAATATAATAAAAGTATGGTGAAGTGTATCAACAAGAGGTTGCAGCCTGAAAATACAAAAATGACTATTAAAGAAATATAGACAACGAAAACCTATTTAAATTTCAATAAAAGCTAATCTTGGGTCTTTTTTTTTCTTGTTCATCCTGTCTGACCTAAATTGAAATTTTTCCATTAAATTAAATGGTGATAAATTGTAAAATGTAACATTTTAAAAAGTTAATATTTTCCCATGAAAGACCTTTTTTTTTATTTTACATCACTAAAAAACATTGATCTGTGACTTCATCAAATAAGAAGACTAGCTTAGTATCCTGTTAATTATATCCGTATTATGTCATAAATGATGCAGAAATGACACAGTTTCCTAAAAATGACCTCGCTATTTGTTAAACTGTATTGTGTTCAACTGTTCTTTAATTCTTCTTTATAGCAAAACCTCTATTCTGTCATCAAGTAGCATTGGTAATAAAACCATTGTAAAAGCAGTGCTAAGACGACCTACCACCTGACATCTGTATCTGCCCTCCATTTCACTGTGGCACAGAACGTGCAGCTGCTCCTATAGACACACTGAATTTCAAATGTTTTTTCCATAGAGGCATAACAAAGAAACTCGCTGAGAATCCACGGTCACTGATCTGAATGCAGTCTCAGTGAGGAGCGTGAAATTGGATTTCGAAGCGCATTTGTGTATGGAATCTGTTATGGCCCAGTCTACCTTCTGTTTTAAACAGAGACTCAGCTATGAAACACTGTCACAAAAAAATGATTAAGAGTTTATTACTGTTTAATCACAAATTATAAACGAGTTTCTGATTGTTTGTGTGTCTATATGCGGCTCACAGAGGGAACCGGAACCGTGAACACGCTCAGCAGTGGCTTCATAAACTCAATGACCAGTGGGAGCTCCAGAGGTTTCTACAAGACTGCCATGAGGTAGGATGAGTGCCAGCCGAGCACAAACAAGAAAAACTATGATTTTGAACCAAAAGATGTTTGCCTCGCTGTCGGTAAATCTGTGCATCAGTTAAGTGTGGACAGCAGTGCAGGATTTCAATGTAGCTCACGCTTGTTTCTACTGTTCTTTGTAACTTGTAAAAAGCATTTCTTAAATGTAGCAAAATTAAAATAAATTACTCTTACAGAGTGTCCTAACCATTTGCAATACAATAGAGTGATATATGTGTTTTAGTCAAGCTGCAGGACATTTTAATGGTCACTTGGTTTTAAAAACAGTGTCACCATTCTTGTTAATCTCGCCCACAGTGAAAGCTCATTGGTCCAAAACCCTGCTCCATGTGATTGTATATTAAACATCAGATATGTTTGATTAACTGTGACCCTTGTGAAAAGGCAGTGTGTTTAATTGTATCGAATGTGCACTTGTAATCTTAAAAGTATTTTTTAAAGATAATATTATTTAATGAAATAAAAGACTACTTAAGTGCACTTAAAGAGAGACACTTTCATGGCTTTGTTCCTTTAACACACTTAAGTACACTTTTAAAAGGTACACTTTGTAGTAATGTTAAATTGAAAGTATTACTTTCAAGTAAAATCTAAATCATGTTTAACGATATTTTGTCGTGCTTCAAAGAAGTACCCTTATTTTGATGTGTTGACTAACATGCTAAAGTACATGTAACAGCTCTTAATGATAATTTTAACTGTAGAGTTATTTGATATTACAGATTTGAAATGTGCTATATTACAACTTTATAAAACATATTATATATTGTTAAATGCATGACAAATTTTAAAGGGGTCATATGATGCGATTTAAATTTTTCCTTTGAGTTGAATTACTGAAATAAATGAACTTTTCCACGACATTCTAATTTATTGAGATGCACCTGTATTTAATTAAATTAAATTGAAAGATATACTTAAGTCCTATTTAAGTGGGTAAAAAAGCACTCTCTTTAACTAATTGCATTTAATAGGAATTTAAACTATAATCCGAAAACATTACATTTAGTTCACAAATAAGTATATTCTTTTGAAGTATATTATTTCCATAACAAGTACTCTTTTTAAAAGTATACTTACTGTAAGTGTATTTCTTTTTCACAATGAGAAACTGATTCATTAGGCTTACAATCTTTCACCTTTTTTTTGGATGTTTGTAAATCTCTTTGGACCTTTTTCCATTAGTAGGCTATTGTGTGTAATTTGGTGGTGTCTGTGTATTCTGGCCTGTCAGTTGTTCAGTTATTTCCTAAAGCAGAATGAACAGTTTTGTCTCCTGTGTTGTAGTAAACAACATTTTTAGACCGTAGAAAAACATTTGTGCAGTCGGGTAAGACTTAGTCATGTTTTACAGAAGTCGTCCAGTACATGTGGCATTTAGTTTGTGTCTTGAAATGACACTGAACAGCTGAGCATTGTGGGTAAATGCTGTGTGAAAGCAGTTGTACAGTAGGAGGCTCCCGGTGTGGCCCAAACCTGCAGGCTTATTTAGACTTTGCTTGTTCTTCCCTTCTCATGCTCAATTATTTAGCAGGTCTCCTCATCACTTATTCAGTTGAGAGAGAGGGAACTTCAGTAGTGTGTGTGTGTGTGTGTGTGTGTGTGTGTGTGTGTGTGTGTGTGCTCACTGGAGGGGT